CTGGCAGGACCCTGCCCTTTACCTTTCCTGGTGCCAGCTAGCCAGGTGTGCCAGCACCAGCAGGGGAAATTTATCTGCAGGTCCCGTAGGTTGTCTTGGCCTCCTTTCCCCTTGTTGGCACCAAAGCCAGGAGTGATATGAGGGTTGTAGGCCTGGTAGGAGGAGGAGAGGACCCAGGGCTGCTCTTGAGAAGCAGGCTTGAGGGTCATGGGGCCTGGCGCACAGCTCTGGGAGCCTCCTGCTGGGCTTGCCCTCAGAGCAGCACCACCTCCTGGTGGCGGGGTGCCCACAAGCCCTCCCACTTCTCAGATGGGAGCGGCACAGACTGGAGGGTGGCCGAGGCCCATGTGGGACTTGGACCAGCATGGACTGCACAGAGTCTTCAGTGGGGCTCACAGGGATTTCAGGACAGACTTGGGGCAGTCAGGCTGGGGTGGTCGCCACCTCACTGATCTGGGTGAGCCAGTGGGTGGGTGACAAGACCGGCCCCAGGTGGGGAAGGAAGCCAGGCCAGGGACCCCGATCACCATGTTGCCAGTGCACTGAGCGAATCTCAAGTGTTGATTTCAGAGAAGCTGCGTCGGAGGGCAGGCTGATCTCCTGGCATTTGTGGAGCCTGTTGCTTTCCAGGAGGATGGCCTGGGAGAAGAGCCAGGAGCTGCTGGCCAGCATCCAGATCTGGGCTGGATTACACGGCTGGGCTTGCCCAGAGCAGTAAGTCCTCACCACCACCAGCCCCCGCCTGGAAGGTTGGGCCAGAGAGGTCATGGAGGCCAGGGTTGTTCCCAGAGGAGCAGCAGGAGCAGCCTGGGCCCCCAGAGCAGGCTGCATGATGGGCCCCACCTTGTGGCCTCCAGCCAGAAGCTCCTCACTGTGTCAGGGTGGAGGAGGAGCTGGGTCACCCGTGGGCCCTCACTGAGTCAGAAGGACACAGCCCAGGTGTGGCCCTGCTGTGACAGGCAAGTGGTGGAGGTGGGGAGGAGGGTGGAGGCGCCATGTGGAGGGCAGTGCTGCTGTGAGTGGCACCCCTGCTCCTGCCTGGGAGAGCGAGCTCTATGTTCTCATGGGTAGGGAGGGTCTGGCTGCAGCTCTGGAGTTACACTTTGAGTCCTCACTCTGCCACTCGCTCCCATGACCTTGGCAAGTTGCTCAACTCCAGACCCTTGTCTTAGCGCCTGTGGAGGTGGAGGGAACACTTCAGTCTTCCCAGTGGCTGTCACCAGGCAGATCGGTGCAGTGTGAGGTGTGGCCTGTGCAGTAGTGAAGGGTAGAGGGGGCTTCACGGAGGGATCCTTGAGTGAGTAGAGAGGAAGCCGTGGGGTGGGACAAATGGAGTCATGGGCTTGTGGGTGTGCAGGCTTGGTGGATGGGTGGGGCGGGGCCTTGGGCTCTGCTGCATCCCTGGCTGCTTGTACCTTCTGGGCAGTGGCTGCCCTGCCTTCTGGCTGTCCTCCTGTAGGTATGGAGGGGCCAGCCTTCAGGGCAGAGGCAGTGCTGCACCTGTGTGGGCCACACCTGCAGCACCAGGTGACCACAGCAGCAGGGGTTGGCAGAAATGAGGGCCAAGCCTGGCATGTCTGGGCCAGGGGGCAGGCCCCCTGCTCTTAGCTGGGTGATGCACTCTTACTTCTGACTGGATGTTTCTTGACTAGGAGGTAGTTAAGGTGGATGAACAGTCTCATGTTGGGTGCCTTAGGGTGGGCTGGGCAGGAGCTTATCCTGGCCCCGCAGCATAGCTCTAGACTTCTGCAGAGAAGGCAACCTCTGGGGAACTGAGGGAGGGTCCTAAGGATGAAGGTGGGGTGAGGAGGCTTCCAGAAGATCTGGGCGATGAGGCCTGCCGTAAGAGGGGTTTGAGGGTGCCTTTCCCTGTCCTCTGCCTCTCTCTCCGGGGTCCTCCATCCTGGACGAGTGTAGGCTGCAGGAAGTTGCCTGAAATTAGGCACGTTTTAGTTACAGTGCCTGAGCTTGTCTCCGTGGGAGCGTATTCCTGCCTGAGGTCAGGCACCGAAGGGAAGGGACAGCATTCACTGGGGGTGCCATTCAAGAGGGTTTGAAGTACCAGCTGTGAACAACACTGGGAGTGGGGCCCCCAATGGTGGGGATGGCGGTAGGCATGGGGTGTCAGCCTGGTCTCCAGGGGGCACTCCCTGGAGGCTGAATGACCAGAGCAGTTCAGAATGCCCGGCACTCCTGCAGGCATAGTAAGTGTCCAGACTGAGTTGGGGCAGCTCCTGTCAGAATTGGGGGTCGTGGGGTCGTTCTGGGCTTTCTGTGTAAGCAAGAGTTACTTTCCTCTTAAAACCTCCTGTCGTGGCTTCTGAAAGGTATGGGACTGGAGCACACTCTGCTTTTTGTGGGTAGTAGGAAGAGAGGCCTCAAGGTGGGCGTGTTCTAGCCTTCTGTGTGTACTGCCTAAGGTGGGTGGGGCCTTGTTGGTAAGTGGGGGCCTCATGGGGTATTGCTGCTCCGTGGGTTAGGGAGTCACGGCCCCACCTCTGCTGTCCTCATTGGCCTTTTGGCTGATGTGTGTTTGGGGCTTGGTATTGGGATCACACCAATATTGCTCAGGGGATGGGGGGCAGACCCGAGGGGCACCTTTAGCTTAGGTCTTCCTCAGGGAGGAGCCAGGAGAGACAGGGATCTTCTGCCACGGTCACTCTGACCTCATGAGCCACTTCCCTTGTGCCAGCAGGCTCATGAGGCTAAACTGGTGCCCTTGGGAGGGGGTGTCACATCGGAAGCCACAGATGACATGTTCCTTCACACTGCTGGCCCAGGCCTTTCTGCCTTGTGGGGTGGGGTGGGGTGGTGAGAGGTGAGTGGTGGGAGGGGGGGAGGTGCAGAGCACACGGCCTCCCTCCCTTGGGCTGGGCCCTGCCAGCTCTCCCTCCCTGGCCTCCCAGGAGTGCCAGGGGCCCAGAAACCATGTGAGCAGCAGCCAGGGGGGTGTTGACCATTTTGTAAACAAGGCCTGGGAAGATGATTCAGGTCTTCAGCCTGGCCTCTGTTCGTTCCCCCACATCCTTTGTGTTCACAAGAGGGCAGAGCTGGCCCCCAGGGACTAAGTGTTCCTGCCCCTCCCTGCCAGGGTCAGCCCACCTAGGGACACCTACCCAGCTGCCTGCAGCGGGCCAGGTGTAGGTCCTAGAGGAGAACCTGATTGCCCACTGCCCCAGATCCTGGGTTCCCTGGAGTCCGTTCTCTGGGTGGGCAGCTAGCCTGAGCTGGGCGTGGATCCTTGCGGCTGACAGGCACGCTGCCCGGGCCTGCTGCCGGCAGGTTGCTGAACGCCAGGTGGTGTCCTCGTTCTAGCCTGCAGTGGGCTCCTGCCAGGGCTGGGCACTGGTGTTCAGACCCAGCGGGGCATTTTGCTGCCAGCTTGCTGGTCCGGTCCCCACGGTCATGTTTCTGCTCACCTGGCAAAGGTGAGTCTCCCCCACCCCCAGGCTGTGGCTCTCCAGGATTGGTGCTTGCTGTACCCACGCCTGGCAGAAAGTGGAAGGGCAGAAGTCGCTGGCTGTCTTCATCTCCCTGGGAAGAGAAGAGCAACAGGGGCCCCACCTCACCTGTGCTGAGGCTGTTTTGTAGTTTATAGACACGGGTGGCTCAGGCTGGCTCTGCCCTTTCTGCTGAGCATCCCTGTGCGAGAACCCTGAGTCCTGTTCTGCCACCCACTCCCTGACCTGTCCGCCCAGTAGTTGCTGGCTGATCTCTGAGCAGGGCGAGCAGCCCCCTAGTTGCAGGGTCTGGCACGTGCTGAAGCGGAGGCCACTGGGTATAGACACTGTCTGCCTGGGCAGTGCTTAGGTTGTCCTGGGGCCCAGAGAGGAGCAGGCTAGGTGGCACGGGCAGCATGGCAGGTATCTGGTCATCTGTGCCTTCCTGTCCATTCTTACCCCAGTGTCACAGTGGTCTCCACTCTCCTTCCCAAGGCTGAGCTCAGCTGTGTCCTTCTGGTTGTCTCTAGGCTCCACGCAGGTATTAAATGTGGATGGTTCAGGCAGCTGGACCTACAGAGCTGGTTCTGCTGCCCTCCGGGCCATTGGTGGGATACTGGACCAACCACCCAGACCAACTGAGTGCCCCTCCCCCTGGGCCACCTCTATGAGAGGGGAGTTGTGCTAGGGGCCAGAGAGACAGCTGGAAGGTTGGAGTTGAGGCCTCCCAGCCACCCACACCCCTGGGTCTGGTCACATTCCTGAGGGACCTGCTGAGCCTCCCTGGCCCTGGGGGCGGGGGAAGGACAGGCAAGGATGGGCTCCAGGCTCCTACAGGCCTCCTCCCCCACCCTGGCTCCATTCCAAGGGAGCCCAGATCTTCCAGAGTGGTGTACAAGGAGCCAGACTCTCAGGACCCCCCTCTTTTGTGACCTGGGTGCGGTTGGGGGAAGAGGGAGCCCACCCGCATCTGGTAGCAGCTGCCAGTGTCTTTGGCAGGCTGGTATTGAAAGGCCCAGCTTTCGAAAACTACAAGAGGAGGCCATGTGGTCAGGCTGGGCCTTCTGGGCAGGGAGGGGGCAAGAGCAGATCTGGAAGGGAAGGAGGCAGGAGAGGCAAAAGCGGTTGAGACTGGTTCTTATAAATAGCCCACTGCACCAGTGCCTCCAATTTTGACCTTTTGTTATGTAAATGTGGCCGGCCTTGGGAAGGGCCTTGCCCAGGCCTCCTGCTGCCACGCCCGCCCGCCATGAATTGTGTGCCTGCCCTGGCTCCCCAGGCCTAGGTGGCCCTCGGAATGCCCTGGAGCTTCTGGGTGGGAGGAGGCTGCTAGGCCTTCGAGCTCCCTAGACCTGTCACCTTATCTGCCACCGGGCCTGTCTGCAGGGCACTATGGACACTGCCTCCTTCCCAGCTAGCTGCCCCTGGCATCCCAGTTTCCCTGACCTTCTTGGGAACAAGGACTCCAGGGCTACCAGGCACCTTCTACTTCACTGTCCTGTTCCTCCCTCTGTTCCTCGATGATGGCTCTCTGGATGACCATGTCCATCTTCTCCCCAGGTGACCAGGCATTGATGCACCCCCAAGGGAGGCCACGTGCTCAAGGAGGCCACTCCCACTGGCTGCTGCTCACATGGTTTCTGGGCCCTTGGCACTCAGGTAGGTTGGGGAAAGGGGGTCAGCAGGGCCAGAGGAGGGATGAGGGAGGCCCGGGGGAGAGAGGACTTTGTCCACCTGCTCCTTCACTGGGAGGTTTCTGGGAGGCCCATATAGCCCTGCAGCTCGCAGCCTGTGTACTGACCTGCAGTCCTTAGCGAGCACTCAGCACTGAGTGCACAGAGGGGAGGCTGGGACCCACTGTCCTGAGCCTATGGAGGAGGGGCCGCTGTGGGCTCACAGGCTCTTGGAGGATGGGACCTCCTGCCATCCCTAGTCCTTTTGACAGGCTCAGAGCACCAGGAATCTTGGGTGCTGGTGGAACTGACTTTGCATGTGCCTAGGTATCCTGGCCCGCTGATATGGAAGCCATGTGTGGGGTTCTTTGTCCCTGCCTGGTTGTTTGTGGGGCAGGGAGTAGGGGATGGTTGGCTCCTTGGGAACCTGGGCTCTGGCCTCTGAGTCCCAGCTGAGCAGCCTTGCAGGGCCAGGCTGTTCTGTAAGTGTCTGCTGCCTCCTGCTGTCCGGCTGTGGGTGTAGCCTGACACCCATCCGCATGTGCTCACTGTAAGCTTCAAAGCCGCCTCTGGGGTGGGAGTGATTGCTAGGGTTTTATTTTTCAGTCTTCACAAACAAGGGCACCTGTGGAGCAAGGAGGAGCATTTGTGTTTCAGGGAGGCGGGGTGAGCACACTCCCTCCAGGCTTCACCCCTCGTGGGAGCAGGTGGTCCCAGGTGCGGTAAGGCTCAGAGCACTCAGTTACTGTCAGAGACCGAAAGTAGCCCCCCCCCCCCCCGCCCACCAGCTGTGTGGCACAGGGTTGTCTGGAAGGTTTTTTGTTCCCTGAGGGCCTGTCAGGGGGCCCGGGGCAGGGAGCCATGGCCTTATGTTGCAGACCCTGCCTCTCGGTGGGGTGGGCACAGTGAGCACACTGCAGCATAGCTAGCCTCCAGCACATCTGGCCTTCCGATGAGGCCAGAGCCTCTGCGAGTTTCATACTTAATGACATCGGTTAGTGTCTGTGCCGCTCTGTCGAGGCCAGCTGGCTGTCTTTCCCGTGTCCAGATGTGCTGCCTTGTCCAGAAAGGAGCCAGGGCCTGACACACCAGGGCCCTGTATGGCCACATTTTCTGCTCAGCACCCAGACCCAGACAAAGACATGCTCTGTGCCCTCCCTGGGACAAAGCACTTGTATTTTGGGGGCAGGTGAGGGACAGCCTGTGTGCTACAGTGTCTGGGAGGTGGTACTGTGACATTGGGGAGTCCGAAAGCTTAGGGGGCCTGTAGGGTGGTTTAAAGAGGCCCCCAGGGTAGAGCAGAGGTTGCAGACTAGAGGCTGCATATTTGACTTGGCTCATGTGGCATTTAAGAAAAAGAACCTTTAGCCCTGGCTGGTGTAGCTCAGTAGTTTGAGCACGGGCCTGCGAACCAAAAGATCGTGGTTTGATTCCCCATCAGGGCACGTGCCTGGGTTGCAGTCCAGTTCCCAGCAGGGGCCAGTTCCCAGCAGGGGATGCACCAGAAGCAACCATACATTGATATTTCTCTCCTCCTCTCCTTCCCTTCCCTTCTAAAGATAAATAAATGAAAAAAAAAAAAAAAACCTTTCTTTAGCACTGGCAGATTTCACGCTTGTCCCCAAAGCTATGTGGCCGCACGTTCACATGGCAAGTTGGCCCTCCCAGGGCTCCTCGGTCCCAGCCACTTCCCAGCATCGTAGTCGTCTGCTGCTCATTGTTAAGTCCCTCATGGGCATGTGGTTGATTTCCTTTAGTGCGGAGACGGTCACTGGGCTGTGAAGTTCAGTTCAGTCCTAGTTCTCTACTTTCGTTTTCTCATCGGTGTAAGCGGGGCCCAGTGTCCTTTCTCTGGCAATTTCAGTTCTGGGTGATGAGTGTGAGTTCCCTTCCTGTGTACTGTGCCTGAGGAGGTGGCCGGTGGCCAGGTCAGCTCAGAGGCCTCTCTGCATGCCACTGTGCCCCTCCACAGGCCTGGAGCCCTTGCACAAGGGTCCTGGTCAGCTAACTCTTGAATGCCTGTTCTTGCAGGTGGTACGCGTGGGCAGGGCGTGGGGACATGGGGCCCGACATGGAGCTGCCCAGCCATTCGAAGCAGCTCCTGCTGCAGCTGAACCAGCAGAGGACAAAGGGCTTCCTGTGTGACGTTATCATCATGGTGGAGAACTCCATTTTCCGGGCCCACAAGAACGTCCTGGCTGCCAGCAGCATTTACTTCAAGTCCCTGGTCCTGCATGACAACCTCATCAACCTGGACACGGACATGGTCAGCTCCACCGTGTTTCAGCAGATCCTGGACTTTATCTATACGGGCAAGCTGCTGCCCAGCGACCAGCCGGCTGAGCCCAACTTCAGCACTCTTCTCACCGCCGCCAGCTACCTCCAGCTGCCCGAGTTGGCAGCCCTCTGCCGCCGCAAGCTCAAGCGAGCCGGCAAGCCCTTTGGCTCTGGACGGGTGGGAACGTCTGGTATGGGGCGACCCCCTCGCAGCCAGCGGCTATCCACAGGTTCTGTCATCCAGGCTCGGTATCCGGGGCTCATAGATGGGCGCAAGGGGGCCCATACCTCCCAGGAGCTCCCCCAGGCCAAAGGCTCAGATGATGAGCTCTTCCTCGGCAGCTCCAACCAGGAAAGCGCACTTGGCCTGGGCCGGGCTGTCTGTCCAGCCAGTGGGGAGGCCGGCCTGGGCAGCTGCAGCACCAATGGGAGCAGTGGGGGCTGTGAGCAGGAGCTGGGCCTGGACCTGTCCAAAAAGAGCCCCCCCTTGCCCCCTGCCACCCCTGGTCCCCCTCTCACCCCTGATGACCCGGCCCAGCTGAGTGACAGTCAGCATGGCTCACCCCTCTCGGCCTCTGCCCCTCCCATTGCCAACAGTGCCTCTTACGCTGAGCTGGGGGGCACCCCCAGTGAGCCCATGGACGTGGAGGGGCCCGAGGACAACCACCTGGGCCTGTTGGAGGGACCCAGCGGGCAGTCCCGAAAGAGCCTCCGGCACTCGGTCCGCAAGAAGGAATGGAGCAAAAAGGATCCCATGGCAGGTTCCCCCTTTGAGCGGAGAGAAGTGGGGCCCAAGGGCTCCTGCCCAGGAGAAGAGAGCGAGGGGCTTGGGGACAGGGTTCCCAATGGCATCCTGGCTAACAGCGTAGCAGGGAGTGGCCCCAGCGGGCCCTATGGGGAGCCCCCGTACCCCTGCAAGGAGGAAGAGGAGAATGGCAAGGACGGGAGCGAGGACAGCGGGCAGAGCGGGAGCGAGGGGGGCAGCGGCCACGCCAGTGCCCACTACGTGTACCGACAGGAGGGCTACGAGACAGTATCCTATGGGGACAACCTGTACGTGTGCATCCCCTGCGCCAAAGGCTTCCCCAGCTCCGAGCAGCTCAACGCGCACGTGGAGACGCACACAGAGGAGGAGCTGTTCATTAAGGAGGAGGGCGCCTACGACACGGGCAGCGGGGGCGCTGAGGAGGAGGCAGAGGACCTGTCGGCGCCCAGTGCCACCTACACAGCCGAGCCCCGGCCCTTCAAGTGCTCAGTCTGTGAGAAGACCTACAAGGACCCAGCCACCCTGCGACAGCATGAGAAGACACACTGGCTGACACGGCCCTTCCCCTGCAATATTTGCGGCAAGATGTTCACGCAGCGTGGCACCATGACACGCCACATGCGCAGCCACCTGGGCCTGAAGCCCTTTGCTTGTGATGAGTGTGGCATGCGCTTCACCCGCCAGTACCGCCTGACGGAGCACATGCGCGTGCACTCAGGTGAGAAGCCCTACGAGTGCCAGCTCTGCGGGGGCAAGTTCACCCAGCAGCGCAACCTCATCAGTCACCTGCGCATGCACACCTCCCCCTCCTAGAAGCCAAAGACCTTCTCTAACCTGTGGGCGCCCTCTGCAGACTCGCCCTCGGGAACAATAGAAGGAAGAAGCAAGGAGGCCGGGCGGGCGGACCCGGACCCCAAATCCAGTGGGGGTGGCTCCTGGTGGTACCTTCAGCCAGCCCCTGCACCCAGAGCTTTAATCAACAGTCTGTACCAAGGGAAGAGAGCAGAGGAAGGCCGGGTCCCAAGCCCCAAAGGTATTGTGGGTGTGCATTCTACCTCTGGATCCTGCCCAGGCCCCTGGCTCCCCACTCAGGGCTGCCACAGGGCCTGTGGTAGTGGGTCGCAGGGACCCAGCCTTGCAGGTCAGGTCTGAGCAGGGGGGAGTGGGGACCTTCCTCTGTGCTGGGAGGATCAGGGCTGCCTGAGGCCAGGGGCAGTGTCCCTACAGGTCTGCGTGGCCGCCTTAGCTCTAAGGGGAGCGGTGCTGAGTGAGCAGTGCTGGGCGGGAGTGGGTGGAGCCCTCCCTCCTTGAGCCAGGGGGCCCCACTGCCTACCTCTCCACAACTAAAGAGCCCTCTGGGCCTGTGTTGCTGTTATTCCTACTGATCTGTTCCTTTTTTCTTTATGAGATTTGTTTTATAAACCAAAACCAACAGAGTTTATTTTCCTCCCGGCCCCTTGGGGCTGAGCCTGGGTCTGCAGACTGAATGTATGGGGCAGTCGCCCCTCCCGCCCTGGCTGCAGGCTGCGGGGCGCCCACCCCCCAGGCCCCAGAAGCCCTTCTTGGCCAAAGGCTTCCCTGGGCCCCGAGCCCCACCTCGGCTGCCTCAGGAGAGAGAGTGCTTTTCCTATAGTTTCCCAGGAATCTTCTTTGTTTAGAGGTACTTGTTTTTTATTAAGAGAAAAACCATTGTAACGTTTATGTGAATGTTTGAACTGGAAGGTCTGGGGTTCGAGGGGGGAGGGGGGAGGCTGGACCGGGTGCCAGGGCCGTCGGTACTCTTGTTTTCCTTTTCTTTGTGTGTGTGGTGTGCGCAGTGTGTGTGTGGGCAGGTGTTGCGCTTTCCTTCTTCCTTACCTGTCAAGGTGGAGAGACTTCTGACCTTTTGCTACCTCTTGAAATTCATGAAGAACAGTAAGTTGGTGACTGGCAGTTGAGGCCGTGACACTTTCGTTTCCTCTTAGTGCACACAGGTGTTCAGGTGCACAGCCCTAGGCCCCACTGCACACACCACGTGCTCTGTGAGGCTTCTGCAGCTTTGGAGTCTTAGGGCTCAGGTGTGGCTTTTCTTCTGAGTGCAGGGCTAGCCATGGCCACCCTAGGGTGTCTAGGTGTGTTGCTGAGAGCCAGGGAGCTCGCCCAACACCATTCTGGGCCCAGGTGAGGGTGTGAGTGTTCCAGCCCCGTGGGAGCTGGGTACTCAGCAACAGGAAGATCGAAGTCAGCTCTTTGCAGCTCCATGTGAGGGCCGGGATGAGGTGGAAGTGAGCCCCCCGCCCATCCTGTCCCCTGGGCCTGCAAGAGCCTGAGCTTGGGAAAGCAGCAGCCTATCTGGCCATTGTGAGCAGATGCTACCAGTGTGGAGGCATGGGGAAGGGCCGACCAAAGTGATGTGTACCCCCTAGGGGACAGGAAGGGGTCCTGCCCTGTTCGGACATTGTTCTAGGCAGTCCTGGCCCCCTGCCACTGTTCTCAAGGCTGGCTGCTCATTGGCTCAGCCCTGTCTGGGGTTCTTCCCCATGCCCCTTGGGTTTCCTCTGCCAGCCTCAGACACCTCCACCGGGCCAGAGCCTGGCTGCAGGGCCAGACTGAGGTTGCCAAAGTTGGCTCCACTGTCCTCAGCCGCCTGGAGCCACAGGACTGGGCCGGCGGCTTTATCTTCATTTTGCTTCGTGCTTTTGCTTTTTATTTTTTCTTTCTACTTTAAGTTCAGACCAAAAAGTTCCGGAGTCATCCCCTGCCCCTACCTTTCACCCTTCTAGAGATCCTCCAGCTGAAATCAGAGCCTGAGTTCAGGGACCTGAGTGGTGGATGGTGTGTTTGGGAGTGAGGGCCCCTGAGTCAGCCCTCATGTGGTGCCCCGAGGCCCCACCAGCTCTTCTTCCCTTTGGGTAGGGGGTGGAGGGCTGGGCCCAGGGCCTCTTGTTCCAGCAGGACAGTGAGGGGGCAGGGCCTGACGCAGGCCCCCGTGCCCTCCCCGCCCCTGCCCCACTCCATCAGCACTTAAGCCTCACGACACAAAGTCTGTACTGCACGGGAGGTGCGCGCACGCCCGGCCTGTGTGTGGCCTCCCGGCCGTGGGCAGCCGCAAACGTGAGGCGTCCTGTGGAAGCAGGTGATCCTTTCCAAAGCTTCAGGGAATGGGCGCAAAGGCCCCACTCAACAACGTTCGCGCGACGTAGTATTGTACCCACCTGAGTATTGTATCGAGCCTTTTCTGTATTTTAACGAGAAAGCAGAACACTAGTTTCCTATTTAAGATTTTAAGGGTTTGCGGGCGGGGTGGGACTGACACAACACTTGGTTTTGTTTTTTTTCTCCTCTGGTCTCATGCGGAGTGTGCTTGCGAGAGTGTGCGTGGAAATGTGTAAGAGCCTCACAAGGAAATTTGGCCGTTGGAGGCCCAGGGCGGCTCACAGTTCTCTGCTTCAGTCACTTAATTCCCGAATGTGTCGGAGAAACAGGAAACAGAAAACAGCAGACGTCATATAGGAAAGAGGATAAACAACAAGAAGAAAGAAAAAGCTCATACCCAAATTCACAAAACCTATTTTTTAAACCAAAGCACATTGTGAATGAGTATGGAACCTCAGCGGGCTCAGAAAAAAAGATACTAATATATTTATCTCATTGTTTACATAAACTTTTACAGTTTCAGACCTCAGCAGCTGTAAGGCCAGTCCCAGTGAGTCCCCACCTTCCGCTGGTGCTCCCAGGCAGAGGGGCAGCTCTGGGGCCGGGGCCGGGGCCGGTGCGGGGGCCTCACCTTCACCCGAGCCTTCCTTCCCAGCCCCGGGCCTCTCCAAGCCCAGCTGGCACCAAAGAGCTTGGGCCGGTGCTGCCCGGCCCCCCGGCCTCCTGGCAGTCCTGGCCAACCGGCACAGCAGAGGGTGGCCGTCGGCTCTGACCACAGGATCTGAGCCTGGGCTTGGGCCCCAGGATGGAGGCAAGCCTCCCCACGTGCTGCTCTGCCCAAGATCCTGGGGTGGGTGGATGTCAGGGTCCCTCTCAAGCCAAAAAGCCAGGATCTTTGCACGCCCATTGATTCTGGCTAGTTCCCGTCCCTGGGGACCCTGCCCCCCACCCCCGCCAGCAGTGGGAGGGGCTCACTGGGCTGGTCCTTACCAACATGGATGGTGCAAACACTCTGAACAGTGTTGTTTTTGTATCAATATGTTTGTGCAGTGATGAATGTATTTATTTCTCAGACTTGGGGCAAGCGAGGGGCAGGCCGGGCTCTGCCACCGCACGCTCCTGCCAGACCGAGCCACCCTGAGGGCTCATCCAGGATTGCAAAAAAGAAATGAGAACCTTTAAGCAAATAATCTCAGAGACTCGCAGCATAGCCATACACCGCAGCCTGTGAAACGAACCACCCGGACCCTACTGACTCGCAGGACCTCGTTCAGCCGTGCGTCGTTTCCCACCAGCCACCACTCGGGTGCTGGGCTGTCTCTGCCCCCACCCCGTCAGTATTCACTGGATTCGACCGAGTGCAGGAGTGCGATCTGGCCGGGCCGGCTGGGCAGGCAGACCCCGCCGCCCTCCCCACAGCCGTCCTGAGTCGGGGTGAGGCCTGGGCAGCCGGGAGGGCAGGGCTCAGGGAAGAGGTCACTGCATCCATGCTGTCCCTTTGGCTCGGGGGACAGAAGCAGAGGCACCAGGCCTTAGGAGAAGGAATGAGGACCTCAGCCATGCCCCGCCCCGTGGAGGGACCAAGGCCCTTGCTCTCCCCCAGAGCCGCGTTGGGGCGGTGGTTCCGAGCCTGTGAATCCGATGCCAGGAGTGAGGGGCTGGAGAGGGACCTAACCAGAGCCTCAGTCTGACATTCCAAACCAGGGGGTGGGTGTGCACTGTGGGAATTGGGGCTGCCCAGTCCCCCCCAGCTTCAGTCACCCCACTTTAGTTTTCTACCGGGAACCCCTCCCCCTACCTCACCTTGCTATTTATTGCTGTAATTTATTGACCTCAAAAATGCTGCATAACAGACCTCACTTGGGGCAGGGAGGATTCCCCAGGGCTCCCCCCCTCCACTTGGCGGGGCCCTGTGGGGCCAGGTGCTGAGGGGAGCCTCCCTGGACCCTGCCCATCGCTTGCTTCCCCCTCCTCCCTTGGGGAACCCCAGGTTGGGCACTGGCCCATTCGTAAATACCTCGAGGGGGAGGGGGAGGGATGGGATTATAGCTGTTTTGTTTAATTGGAATTGGAAGAGGGATCATGTCCTTTATGTCCTTCCCAGAATGGGGGAGGGACACTGTGATCGCACTCCTGTACTGGCCACCGCCGCTGTCAGTCATCACATTGAGTTCACTTCCCTTGAGAGTTTGGATAAATTCAGGTCAGAGCTGCAAGTACGCAGCCTTCAAGTGTCATAGAAAAGCAATTCACCAACGACTGATCTCTCCATTCAGAAGCGTGCAGTCTTAATGTACAGTGATGAGAAACTGTTATTTTATGATCTTTTCATTAAAAGCTTGATTGAAAACTTTCATGGGGCCTCTGTGTTCCGTGGCCATTAATTCTTACTGAATGGTAAACTGCTTTCCTTTCTTTTTCCAGCTCTTCCAGGACTGGGGGTGGCAGCTGGGGTGGGCATCTGCCCACCACTGTCCTAAGGGCAAGTCTCAGATGGGGCTGTGGAGCCTGCCGGGGAGGGTTGCCAGTCCAGGAACTGGCACTCGGTGGCATCTCCTTGGGCAGTGTTGGCCTCAGTCGGCTGGTGCAGTTTGGGAAGCAGAGGGTATGTCGATAGGGTGTCGACCCGGTGGCCTGAACGAGGGGAGACATGGCTTGTGCCCAGATCACCTGTCGGGGCAGCAGAGTTGGGCTGGGGCAGGTGGCAGCTCTCATGTTTGCTGCTCCTTCCTGCTTGGCCTTGAGGTCGAGAATGATGGGGGAGGAAAAGAGAAGAGTCGGTCTCCAGGGGCAAGGGCAGTCAGGTTTTCTGGAGGACTGTCCCTCCCAGCCACCAGGATGGGATCCCAGGATGATTGAAGATGGAGGAGGAGTGGGGATGGGGCAGGAGGGCAGTCAGTGTAGACCCCTGACCCCGTGTGGGTCACAAGTGAGTCAGGGGTCACAAGTGCTGGGCCAGCTGCGGTGCTTCTCAGAGAAGGGGCCCAGGTGAGGGTTTCATGCCAAACTGGTCTGGAGCTTCTTAGCCCCTGCGCCTTGAAGAATAGTCACGAGAAGGGTGACAGGTGAGGTGAAATACTCCGTTGCACCCTGAGGAGGCATTCCTAGGTTAAACTTGTAGGCACTTTCCTTAAAACACGGCTTTCTCCGAAAGCCAGTTGAGGAAGATTGGCATCTACCAACTCCTTCTGTGCAGCCGAGAGTGTTTGAGCCAAGAAAAGGAGCAGCCGTAGGAAAAAATGCCTCTGCTGCCGCGTGGCCAGAACTTGTGATTGAGTGTCACAGTTGGCCCTGTGTGCCTTGGGGGTCAGAAAAAAAACAAAAAACTTTCTATGTCAGGCCTAGGGAAGCATCTCTGATGCCAGATATTTCAGGAAGTGTTTCCCACAGACCCTTCTAGGAGGACATTTTCTAAATTGTACAGCAAAAGTACAGGAAGGTTTTTTAAATGAAGATTTTAATTTTTAGAGAGGGGAAGGGAGGAGGGGAGAGAGAGAAATATTGGTTGCTTCTCACACATACACCAACCAGGGCTCAACCCACAACCCAGGCACGTGCCTTGACCAGGAATCAACCAGCAGCCTCTCACTTCGTGGCTGTCACCCAACCCACTGAGTCACACTAGTCAGGGTGGTAGAGGAAGCTTTTGAATAGCTCTTTCCCAAATCCTGGCAGAAGCCAGGGCACGCTATTAAAAGCTCTCAGAGGTGCTGCAGAATGTTACTGTGGGTGGTCTGCCTCTCCGGGCTGTTGGGCAACACGCACACCTGCACTGACTGTCTTTCTAGACTCTGAAGGATAAATCTGGACACGTGAGACCTAGGCTTCAGTGGCCCAGGCACCCCATGCTTACTGTCCAGTCAACTAGCACAGTCTGGACTTGGCCCTGTAGCCCTGAGCCTGGGGGAGGAAGGGGAGGAAGGTGCCAGCTGGGAGAGGGTGGGAACCCGCCCAAACTGTGCACCTAAGGGGGAAGCCACTGAGTGGCTGGCAGGGAAAGCCACTCAGGTTGAGATGGCACATACACTCTCGCCGGGGACCTCAAGCCTTAGAGGGACAGTATGGAGGTGAGGGTTACCTGGCTGAGTGTGGCCAGCGAGTAGTATATATTTTTCTATCATGCAAAATTTAACTTTTCAAGTACAAAAAAAGGGGGTTCTACCTAAAGGGGGTTTTATCATTGTTCTTTCTCTTACTCAACGGAGCATCATGTAGATGTTCTCACCAGACCACAATAAACATGAAATTACCTCGTCTGCCTTAAAGATGGGGGCGGTGCGCTGCATTCCTGGACTGACACCCTGGCGCCTGTGGGGGAGGGCTGGTGGTGTGCCAGGAAGCAGGGGACCCTTGGCTGTGGGACCTCGCTGCTGGCTTTACAGGGGTTCACTCTAAAAATCTCTCACCTCCTCTGCAAGTTTGAAAATTGTCATACGTTCACAAATTCCTTCAATTCTTAAAATTCATAAAAGTTGGGGACAGTGCTACCTACCTGTAGTAGACTGACTATTTATAACCCACTGTAATTCAAAAGGACCAGGACATTAAGAAATCCCTAGGGTGGTGCAGGGGGTCACTCAGCCGATACTGCCCTCTTCCTGTTCTGAGTGGCCCTCAGTCAGATGGCCTGAGTCAGGCCAGTGTCGCCCTAATGGGTGCCTGGGAAGCTGACAAGGCGATGCTGGGAGAAGACTGCGTGGAACCCAGCCTGGGAGAGAAGGGTATTGAACCTGAGTCCTGAGGAAGAGGCAGGACTGGGCCACACGGGCTGACTGGGAAGGTGGGCGAGTGCTTGTGGGAGCGGGAGCAGAGGCAGGGCCGCTGCTGCGGGAGTCAGACCCCAGTGCGCTGCTCCCTGGCGGGGCTCAGAGGCTCCAGGCACCAAGGCCTGGACTGTTTCCATGACTACCATAGGCCACACCTTATCCCCCACACCTCCAGGCCACTGAGGGGAAGCGGCTCGGGTTTCACAGCTGTATAATTAGCCTTGCTGCAGAGATTCTCCCTGTCCAGGTGGGGGTGTAGGTGTGGGTGGGGAGGGGCTGGTCTGCCCCATGGGACATCCCTGGCCTGTGGGCACCCCCAGAAACACCCATCAGCTCATCCTTCACAGCTGCATAACTGTGATAAATGTGCCGAACCTGGTGGGAAATGGGGAGAGCTGAAACAAGACGCCCGGATTAGACAGAGATGCTCTGTTCCCCGGCAGATCATGGCAGAGCTGAAAAAGTGTGCATTCTTCCTTTTTAATAGACTAACAACGCAGGGGACTTTTTGCAATCCCAATACAGATGCCAACAAGGTACTTGGGAACTTTTGACAAGACAGCTGTACAGTTTATCTGGAGGAGAAATGACTGGTCCTCAGTGGCTGCCTAACCCCCAGGCCCTGTGCCCATGGAACAGTACCTGCCCCCTGCCCTCCTGGAAGGGACAGCAGCAACAAGCAAACACACACCTCTCCCGGAAAACCCTATCCTGCTGGGGGGGGGGCATATTACAACCTGTCTGTGGGAATTAAACCCATGGGGATCTTGAAAGAGAGCAGACTCCACGGCTGACACACCGACACTCAGTGGTTGGAAAAAATGAGTATCAGATGCAGGTCTCTGGATTCAGATCAACCTGGGTTTGAACCCAAGGATGGTGGTGGGGCCTCTGGGGACATGTGCACCCTCATGTCCCTCTGTGAGCTGAGGACCTAAGTGCCACGTCGTTGGGTGTGTAAGGATTGAGGAGTTCATTGTATGCCTGGGGAGGTGGACAGTGAGGACGCACAGCACCTACTGCTTCCATCCCTGTGCCACCTGGGGTTTACCTTTGACCTCTAGGGGACAGATTCCAACACCAGAGGGGCCAAGAATAAAGTTATCCCGTCCTCACCCTGGTGGCCTGCTCACTGCATGGCGTCACATTCATGCAAATATTGTAAGTAACCAGCAATCCTTTGCTACATAACAGACCTTGTGCTGCAAACAAAATGCACTACCCTCAAAACCCAATGGCTTAAGACCAGAGCCACTTTATTTGCTCTTGGTTCTTCTGGGTCAGCAACTTGGGCCAGGCTGGGCTGGGCTGGGCGCGCAGTTCTGCAGACCTTGCTTGGGGTCTCCAGTCATCTCAGGGCTGTCCAGGGCTGCATGGTCTGAGCCAGCTGCAGCCCACCAGGCTTCTTCCCTTGGTTCTAAGACCCAGCCTCACAAATCATTGTTGCCTCCTAATAGTCAGAGCCAGACACGAGGGTAAGCCCGGGCTGGGACCCGCGTCCACCTGCTGATGGCAGGACTGCAGATGATGTATGGTTGCTTTTAAGCTACTGTAAGAAACCTTAACTTCAGTCTTAGATTTCTCAACATTAGCACGGGGAGACGCAGCTCTGGGATACAGCAAGCTTCCTAAACTCCACCTGCTATCTGCAGAGTTGTTACTTGCAGAGTCTACATTCCGGGTGATCCTCTGCTGGCCCCCAGACACAGTGTGTGTGACTCTCACCTCATCCAAGGTCCATCCAGGCCCCTCTTCCCGCCCCCAATCCTGTGTTCTTCCTTATCTCCATTCCCACCTCCCACTCACCGTTTATTTAGTTAATGTAAACATCATCATGGGCACCTCTCACAGTACTTCCTATTTTTTTTACAGTCAGCATTATTCTCAGGTCTCTGCATATTGATTTTAGTTGATCTTAGTCATTTTAAGTGCTCTGCCAGATTCCTTTAGAAAATTCCATTTATTACATTTTGCTCTGATTCCCGGACATTGGCGGAGCACTTAGGCTGTTCCCAGTGTTTTGTGAACCCGTTAGGAACTTCCTCTGGAGTGAATACTCCTTCGTGGAATTAGGGGTTATGGGATTGGGAGGTATGGGGGTCAACCACACCTGGTCACCCTTTGCCCAGTTGTTCCCCAAATGGCCCACAATGACGCTGGCCGCTGTGCATTCACGCATGTCACTGCTTATTTTGATGTCAACCCAGGTGTGAATGTTGGCTGCTCTGGGGGATAGAAAGCGTGGTGTGTGGCCCACTCTTGTTGGTGTTAAGAGTTCTTCCCTTGGGCATTGTCCCATGAGACCCTTTGGTGTTCGCTCTTTCTTGCGGCAGCCCAGGATTTCCCATATAATCTACTCATTATTGATCAACGGATTACAGAGATCACAAAGATCCTTTCCCATTCTGCCACCCAGTTAGAACGCTTGCCCTTGGTATCTTTTTGTTCCAAGTGGGTCCCTTTGGAGATACAGTTGCAGAGTGTTCTGTGGGATGCGCTCAGGTACTCAACCTCCAATCATGATAGACGGCAGCGTTGCTGACACTGGTGTCTTTTGAGAAGCAAAAATCCCTAAACTTGACTTAAGCAAATGCATTCACTTTCTCTCCAGGGATTGTGCTTGCTGTGTCCTGCTTAAGACATCTTTCCCCACACCAGCGTCACAGCCTTCTCCATTTAAACCTTTGGGTTACTTTTTAAGAGAATGTGAAGTAGAGATCTACTTTCATTTCTCTCTTTATCAAGAGCTAGTTTTCCCAGCACCATTTGTCATCATCCACCTCGTCCCATACCTTCCTCACCGTGGTTCCATCCCCACAGCTGGTGGCTTCCTTAAGAATGAGTATGTGCCCTAGTTGGCCCGCGAGGGATGAGGGAAATTCTGTGGAAAGCTTCTTCCTAAAAGAGACCTGTGCTTAGGCGCCTCCTCCCGCCCATTGTGACGCACGCGGGCGCTGGTCCCCGAGATCAGCGGCGGCGGTGGGGCAGAGCTCGGGGAGCCATGTCCGAGATGAAAGAGCTGATGCTGCAGCTGCAGAAAGACAACCGCGACGGGCGCCAGAGGAAGCAGGAGCTGGAGGAGCTGGTACGCGGGCTCGAGGCCGAGAGCGAGAGCCTCACCGGGCGCCTGCAGGACCTGCGCGAGCGCGAGCGCAGGTGTGCGGGGAGTGCGACTCCACTCGGTCTTGCTGGAGGCTGCACCCTAGGCTTCGCAAAGCGTCCGGCCGACCTGGCAGTCATTCTTCCCCTACCCGGCCCCGAACCTCTGCTCTAGGCCGTCGGACGGGGCCATCTACTCAGGGGAACCCCCGAAGGGGAGGGTGGAGTCTTGGCGCCGGGAGAACCGAGGTGGGCTTCCTCGGCCCCTACTCACGGCTGGGTCTTTCCGTGGGCCGCGGGAGCCTCAGTTTTCCCTCTGCAGCCTGCAGCGGAGGCGAAGCCAGGCCTCGAGGACCCTTCGGGGGGAGGCGCGCGAGGCAGCGCGGGAGCGCGCGGAGCGGGCGCGCGGACTGTTGGAAGCAGCACAGCAGCGCAAGCAGGACCTGGTGGGGACGGGGCGTGGACGGGGCGGTGCCTACAGGAGGTGCGGGTGGAGGGGACCAGCCCTGGATAGGGCGGGGTCGTGGATGGGGCGGGGAAGGCGGAGAGGGCGGTACTGCGGAAGGCTCGGACGCTCCCTCGACTGTCCGCAGGAGCAACGTAGCCGGCAGCTGCAGGAGCAGTGGGAAGAACTGTCAAGTCAGGTGCGTTCAGGAAATGCCGTTTCTTGCTTCCCCTAAGAAGTTCCACTCAGGTCCCTGTCCCCGTTTCCGTCCGGTACCCGCCTCCCAGTATATCCTCGGCTCGCAAACCCCGTCCTCACAAAGCTCCACCCCCCAGCTATTTTACTACGGAGGGGACCAACTGAGTCGGCAGCGCGCGGAGCAGCAACTCGGGACCCAACTGCTAGCATTGCAGGTACTTTGGTAGGGCCCCGAGGGCTGGAGCAGCGATGTGGGCGGGGTCCGGAGGGCCAGGGGCACGGCCCTAAGGCGCGGCGGGATGCTCGGCGGACCGGCTCTTGACCTTCCTTGGATCCAATGAAAGAAACAACTGGAGTTGCTGGAGGCCAAGCACGCGATGCAGTCGGAGGGCCTGCGGCAGGTGCGGGCGGAGCCGGGTCTGAGGGGGAGGGCCAGCTTCGGGTGTGGGTGGAGGCTGGTCCGGTTCAGAAGAGTAGACAGCGGTGGGAATGTTTCCCCGAGTCTAATCGAGGCTCCCCTCACCCTAGGGCGCACAGCGGACAGAGGAGGCCTGGGCCAGTTTCCAGGAGCAGAGCGGAGTCCTGCAGGTGCTGCCCCCTCTACCTTGAGAGCCACTCATCTCTGACTTCTCTGCGGCCTCTATCCCTCCTTCCCCAGAGTGGCAACAGCCCGTCTCCTGCTCCACCCTCCCCCTCCACGAACGCCCTACCTGGTCCAGAGACCTCACCCCCACCTCCTTCAGGAGCTGCAGGGGAAAGTGATGGAGGCAGCGGCTGCGCTGGATGCCTCGCGAGGCAGCGCGGAACTGTAAGGGATGAGGACTGTTGGGTGTGGCGGGGCGACTGGGGCTCCGGCAGCTGAGCCCAATGGACACCTGTTCCCGCAGTGGCAACTCTCAGTCACGCCGGGTACAAGACTGCGCGGGGTCCCTCATGGAGGAGGTGGCCAAGGCCGAGTGTGTGAGCGCGTACCCGGGCGGGGAGGGCTGGAGTCAGGACCGCCCCCACCGGAGCCCGCCCCCACCGGAGCCCGCCCCTTGCCAAATCCGCCCCAATGGGGCTCTCTCTCTCACCCACGGGGATCCGCCTCCCTATGAGGACGCCCCGCCTTCGACCGACCCGCCCCCACCGGGACCCCAACTCGCAGGGGACTGGTCCGGGTGGTTCCCGCCCCTCACGTGAGACGCTGCGCCGCTCCCTTGCGGCGGCGGCTCTGGGGCTGGACGCCACTCTTCTCCTCGCAGAAGAAGCGGCTGTTTTGCGGCGCGGGCGCGACGGGCACCAAGTGAGCCAAGGGGCTGACCGCGGGAACGCCGGGCTCGGGTCCACCCCCCGACTAGTACCCTGCGGGATTCGGCCGGTTTGTTCCTCCGTGCGTTCTTCGGCCCGCAGGTTGTGGGCGCTGAGCGCGCTGCAGATGCTGCTGCTGCTGCTGCCCTTCGGGCTCCTGGCGCTGGCACTGCTCTACCTGCTGTTGGTCAATCCCGAAGCCTTCCGCCGCGTGCTTCCGCGCCTGGTGTCGGACACCGCTTTCCGCCGCCTGCGCTATACGCTGTCCCCGCTGCTCCAGCTGCGCGCGCGCGGGTTGCTGCCCGCCTAGGATTCATCACGTTGGCCGCGGTCACCTGCACTTCTGTCTCCCGTGTGGTTTCTGGGTGTCTGAGGGAAGCCAGCGGGAATCGCGGGTGGGTCGTGTGCCCCTCGGGGCCCAGCGGCAGGCTCTAACATCTGGTTCTCAGTGGGCGCGGGGCCTTCCAGGCGGACGCTGAGTCTAGAGAGGCTGTCTCCGGTTCCCCGCAGCGCTGGGGCGACCCGGCCCAGAACTCCGGCTCGAGTGGGGTGCGCCTTCGCTTGTTGCTCACACCAAGGGGCTCCTGGGCGGCACTGCGGAGAGGCCCTTTTCCCACAGCCCGTGCTGCAGCCCTGGAGCCAGTTGGGAAGTTGGTCTGTATCTTGTTAAACTTGCCTTTTCCCCCCCTCCCCCTGCTAGTGAGCCTAGGGCGGTAGCGGAAATTGGGGAGGGAGCTGGTCGGTCTGGTCTCCCTGGTGGTCTGTGTCCTTTGGCCCCGCGGCGCGGTTATTATTCAAGACCTTGGCAGTGTCCCTCTGTTCTCTTGAGATGGATTCTCCGCAGAGCGGGGCAGCTGGGCGGTCCTCTCTTTGGTCCGCTTCCATGTCCGTGCTTGCGACTTCGGTCTTTCTAGGGGCATCGTCTAGTGGCAGTGATGAATCTTGGTTTCATTTTGTCTGATACAAACACCGATCTAATTTTACTTTTTTTTTAGCAATGAAATTGTTCTATGATCTCCTTGTGCACACAAGTGTTTCTGCTGTGGCCTTTAAGCAATTATTCTCTTATTGATTTGTATCCTCTAATCTTTTTTTGGTTAAATTTGTTTATGGAATGCTGTGTATGAAGTTTTATCAAATTTAAGAATCGTGCAGTGTCTTAAAAAAATCCATTCTTTGCCTGGAAGTCATAAAGACATTTATATAGTCCAAATACTTTTTTCACTGGTGTAAATATTTTGTTTTTCCACCCATCCATCGGTACATACTTGGGTTTATGATGCAAGAATCTTTTTGCATTTTCATCCACATTTTAGACTCAGCTTGTCAATTTCCATAAAGCAGTCTGGGGTTTTGATTATGCTGAATTTAGAGGCCAATTTGCAAGTAATATATGTCTTCTAATCTAACGCGATGTCACTTTTTTTTTTAAATTTCTCTCGGGAATGTTTTGTATTTTTTTAGCGTAGAGGTCTTACACATTTTTACATTTATCCGTAGGTATTTGATGTTTTTTGGATGCTGTTATAAACGGTACAGATTTGTAAAGATTTTATTCATTTATTTTGAGAGCGAGGGGAAGGGAAAGAGAAAAAGAGGAACAATTGGTCGCCTCTTATGCCCCCCTCCCCCAAAGGGGAACCTGCAGCCCAGGCTCGGACCCTGACCTGGAATTTAACTGGCGGCCTTTTGCTTTGTGGGGTGACGCCCAGCCAAGTGAGCCGCCGGTCAGGGCGGTATAGATTTTTAGTTTCGTCTTCCAGCTGTTGATTGCTAGCATCTGGAAATGCACTGGCTTTTGTATATTCACCTTTTATTCTGTGATAGCGCTGAACTTCCTTATCCTTCTTTGATCTTTTCTGTACATTCCTCAGGATTCTGCAGACAGTTTTATTGTTATGAAGCAGGACAATTCCTCTTTTTCATTTCAATCTTTCTCTGTCCATGAAAGGGATACTGCTGTATAATTTTATTTTCTTGGAATGTCCCTGTCTTATTTTAGTATCAGGGCTATGCCACCTTCACAAAAAATGAACTGGGACATGTTCTTTCTGTTTTCTGAGTGTGGGTGACATCAGGTTACTTCTTTCTTTGATATTTAGCCCAGTGGCTTCAAACCTTTTTCATCTTGTGCCACACATAACTAATTACTAAAATGTTGTGGCACACCAAGAAACATTTTTCCCCGTCTGACAAAAAAAATAGGTGTGATTTTGATTCATTCATACCAGACAGCTAATGTATTGGCTGCTGCCTTTTTTAAATTCGGCGTAAGGGAGAAGAGGTCAGCACCCCTGACTGATCAGGCAGGCACGGCAGGTTTTAAAAGTCCCTGGGGCCACCCGGTGAAAATTGCTGGTTCAGATTCATCTTGGCTTTATGATGAAAGTTATATTATGTAGACTAATATGATTATAATTATATTATATGTAATTACATAATTGTTATTATACCTTAATCATTTCTTACACTGAAGACTGTATGAAATATTGTATTGTGAATATCTTCCCAGGGCTTTCTTTCCTATGGTCCAAATTAGTTTTTTCCCTTTTCTTGTGTGTTTTTCCTGAGATCAAGACATTCTCTTCTGTACTTTGTTCTGAGAGCCTTTCACATTTATCTTTAACATACAGCTCTACCGTCCACCTGGAGGTGAATATGTCACATATGAGGCAGGTGGTCGAGATTCTCTCTTCTGTGCGGATATCTGGTTGACATACTACCCTGATTGAAAAGCCCCCCTTTCTCCTCCGGCCCTGCCTGTCACGGGGTTTGTGGGAGGGCTCCTGAGCTTCATCTCTCTGGTATTTATTCATCTTTCCTGGCACCAGTTAGCAACACTGTTTCAACTACTGTATGTCAGGTCAGGGTAAGTGTTGATATCTAGGTTTGCTGGTCCCGAGGATGGAAATCCTGTATTTTTACCTCTGGGTTCCCATGCAAATTTAGACTTGCCAAGTCTACTACACATCTTTCTAGGATTTTGACTGGCACTGGCGGTGAAACTACAGACCAGTTTGGGGAGAACAAACATCTTCTTTCAATCCATGAATGTATTACTCTGTTTAGATCTTTCAACAGTTGTAGTTTTCAGCATTTCTTTTTTTTTAAGTGTTTTTTTAAATTTTTTAAAATTTATTTTCTATTGATTATGCTGTTACAGTTGTTCTATTCCCCCCCCCTTCATTCCCCTCCACCCTATCCCCCGTCCCCACCATTATCCCCCCTTAGTTTATGACCATGTATCTCAAGTTCTTTAGATTCTATATTTCCCATGCTATTCTTGCCTCCCCATCTATTTTCTATCTACTGTCTATGCTACTTATTTTCTGTACCTTCTCCCCCCTTCTCCTCCTCCTACTCCCCTGTTGCTAACCCTCCATGTGATCTTCATTTCTATGTTTCCACTCCTGATCTAGCTGTCCTTTTAGTTTGCTTTTGTTTTAGGTGTGGTTGTTAATAACTGTGAGTTTGTTGTCCTTTCACTGTTCATATTTTTTTAACTTCTTTTTCTTCGATAAGTCCCTTTAACATTTCATATAATAAGGGCTTGGTGATGATGAACTCCTTGAATTTGATCTTATCTGAGAAGCACTTTATCTGTCCTTCCATTCTAAATGAAAGTTTTGCTGGATAGAGCAATCTTGGTTGTAGGTCTTTGGATTTCATGACTTGGAATACCTCTTTCCAGCCCCTTCTTGCCTGTAAGGTCTCTTTTGAGAAATCAGCTGACAGTCTGATGGGGACTCCTTTGTAGGTGACTGTCCCCTTAGCTCTTGCTGCTTCTAGGATTCTCTCCTTCATTTTAATCTTGGCTAATGTAATTATGATGTGCCTTGATGTGTTCCTTCTTGGGTCCAACTTCTTTGGGACTCTCTGAGCTTCCTGGATTTCCTGGAAGTCTATTTCCTTTGCCAGACTGGGGAAATTCTCCTTTATTTGTTCAAATAAGTTTTCCACTGGTGGCTGTTCCTTTCCCCCTTCTGGTGCCCCTATAATTCGGATGTTGGAGCATTTAAAGATGTCCTGGAGGTTCCTAAGACTCTCCTCATTTTTTTGAATTCTTGCTTCTTCACTCTTTTCTGTTTGGCCATTATTTGCTTTCTTCTGGTCCACTCCATTGATTTGAGTCCCGGTTTCCTTTTCATCGCTATTGGTTTCCTGTGCAATTCCATTCATTTCAACTAGTTTCGCCTTCATATGTTTGTCTAATTTGTGGCTATAATCAACCAGTTCTGTGAGGATCCTGATGACCAGTGTTTTAAACTGTGCGTCTGAGAGTTTTGCTATTTCTTCATCGCTTAGATTTATAGGCTCTGGGGCTTTGAGATCTTCTTGACCCATTTTTGGTCTGTTTGTGCCCGTTAAGTATGAGGAGCGGAGCCTTCAACTCCCAGGTCGCTGGGTTGTGACTCTGTATGTGGAGGCGGGGTCAGAGCGGGGAAATGGCGGCCCCCTCTGCTGCGCAGCTGGGTGAAGAGCAGAGCCTTAGGTTGTTCACCAGGGCAGGGCCACTCAGGTCACTGGATTATGACGCTGTATGTGGAGGCGGGGTTAGAGCGGGGAAATGGCGGAGCCCTCCGCTGCCGCTGGCCACTGGGGCCTGCTGGCTCCCATCCAATCGCCTACTCCCTCGCTTGTCTATCCACACACGAATGCGTGACCACAGTCAACCCGCAGCCCCGCTCCCTCGCTGTTTCCCCGCGATTGCTTGCTGAGTTGCCCACCAGGTCCAATCCTGCGCCTGGATTCCGCACACCTGAGTCCATCTGACCGAGTTTTCCTGTGCTACCCCGCTCTGCCAGCTGCTGGTTTCGCCTCTCTTACCGGTCAGGCTGAAGAATTTGTTATCAGACTTCTGAAAAGTTCAATTTTTTGTGTTCTGGCTGTGTTTTCTATTGCTATTATTTAGTTGTCTCTAAACTTGGTTGTGTGAGGAAGCACAGCGTCTCCACCTATGCCTCCATCTTGGCGGAAGTCTGTTTTCAGCATTTCTCACGAACCTTTCACTAGGTTTATTTCTTGGTATTGGATGTTCTGCTATGCAGTTGTAAATGATATTGTTGTAATTTCAGTTTCTCCTTTGTTGCAAGGTAGACACACACACACACACACACACACACACGGCTTTTATATATTGACCTGTGTCTTATAACCTTGACTATACATCACGTTTACACATTATTTCAGATTTTTATGCACACAGATGCCATTTCTGAGTTTTATTTCTCCTTACTGTTTCTGGCCTGACCGGGCCTCTGGGACTGGACATTGAAGAGGTGTGACACAGGCGTGGGCCTGCTTCATGGGTGGCACAGGTCTCAGTATTTCACCTGTAAGTACGGTGAGTTTCGTGCAGATGTATCAAGGAAGTTCCTGGTCTTTCAGGAATGGCTTCATTACATCTGTTGAGGTGATGGCTGGCATCTGTCACACCCTGTTCTGAGCACAGACCGGCTCTGCTAACAAACTCCTCAAAGGCGCCAGGCTGTTTCTTGGGTTGGTCTTTTGTCTCCCACATCATCACAATAGAAATGTGATTGTTCCGTATACGCCCATCCCACCCTGAACACGCCCGATCTTGTCTGATCTCAGAAGCTAAGCAGGGTCGGGCCTAGTTAGTACTTGGATGGGAGAAACGTGATTGTTCTTAAGATTTTTTATTTCATTTTTTTAGTCTCTAAAGAGACCTTATTTTCTTGTTAGTTTGTGGACTTAGATTTTCTCTCCCGTATTGTAAATAGCATTTCTAATTTTTCAAGACAGATGACTTGCCTTATTGCGAGGAGCTTGTACATAGCATTTGCTTGACTTTCTTTTTAAAGCCAATTTGCCAGACTCTCTTTTCAGTTATTGTGGAATGAAATGATTTCTACTATGTTTGAATGTGTTTCTGCTCTTTTATGTTTATCCTGCCGTTTCCATGCTTCCCCCTACCCTTCCTTATCTTGTTTGATCTTTCTGGAAGTTACACCCTCACTGTGGTATGCCTTCCACTTGACCTTGGCTCATCTCTAGTATCCTCCCCAAACACTGCCTTAAAGCATGTTAACTCCGATGTTCCCTCAGATTTAACCTGTATTTTAAAAAAAATTCTCCCCAGAGGCTATGTTCATTGATCCTAGAAAGAAGGGGTGAGGGAGAGAAACATCAGTTGGTTGCCTCCTGCATCCACCGCAACCAGGGATCAGACCCTGACTTTTGTTGTGCTGGACTGACAGCACCCCACCCGAGCAAGCCACCCAGCCAGGGCAGGGGTCACATGTGTTTTGTTTACTACTTTAGTTCCGCTCTTTGTTTTTAAGATTTTATTTATTTGTTTTTAGGGAGAGAGGAGTGGAGGGAGAAAAAGGGAGACAAACATCAACTACTTGTCTCCCTCACAACCCCAAGTGGAGACCCAGCTTGCAACTCAAGCATGTGCCCGACTGGCAACATTTTGGTTCACAAGCCAACACTCAATTCACTGACCCATACCAGCCAGGGCTCCTTTTCTTTTTTAAAAGATTTCATTTATTTTTAGACAGCGGGGAAGGGTGGGAGAAAGGAAGAAGAAACATCAATGTGGTTGCCTCTCATGTGCCCCCTACTGGGGACCAGGCCCGCAACCCAGGCATGCACCCTGGCTGGGAATTAAACCAGCAACACTTGGTTCACAGGCCTGCACTCAATTCACTGAGCCACACCAGCCAGGGCTGGACTCCTTTTCTTTTAAAGAATTTACTTACTGATTTTGGAGAGAGAGAAAAACATTGATTTTGTTGTCCCACTTTTTGGTCTTTACTTCCTATCTTGTTAAAATAATTAGAGGATCATGTTGGGTGGCAGAAGATGGCTGCTGCTAGGGGCCAGTGACACAGAGACTTTGGCGTCTCGGGCAGAACACCGGAACGTGCACGCCGAGGAAGCAGAGACATGGGCAGGACAGCTAGGTGGCCTCTGCAGGGGCCCCGAGGGTGGCGGCTTTGGAGTGGGAGCGAGCAGTTAGGGAAAGCCCAGTGTTGTTTCAGCACTTCTGTGCTGTGGGGCGTCGTCTTTGTGCGGCTCACGACCAGAATGCCTGGCCTCCCGCTGCAGGGTGGCCATCCCCACCCCAGCTGGGAGGGTCCCTGGAAGGCCTGTGAGTGCAGGCCCCGCAGCTGGGTGGCCCTTACCCAGCCACTGTTTTAGGACACCGAGAAAACACTGTCCTGCTGTCTTCCCAGAACACCCAGGAGTCACACGCACTTGGGACCAAACGGTAAACCTGATATTCAAGTTCAACACAGCACTTTTATTGCTTTTATTTTCTTCGTGTTGGTGAAATCTTAAGTTGAATGTAATTTTTTTATTCACAAGAAAATACTTCATGTACCTATGAAATAAGACAGGTAGGGAATGTGTTCAGTGCAAACCAAGTGTCCCACCCACTCAGAGACAGGGCGTCACATGATTGTTGTTCCCGTCTCGGGCCACACGTGGGCCACCCTGGAGAGCCAGGCTCTGTGGGGGGCTGCCTCTGTCTTATAAAAATAACTCCACTGGATGAAACGGCGGGGCCACTGGCAGTTCACCCCTTTGACCTCACACAGTGGTGGGGCAAGGAAGGGCTCACGGGGTCCGTGATTGTGAATGGCTTAGGTGGGGGGCCCAGGGCAGCTGGTGGTCCATCACCATCCTCAGTAGGGGATGTCATTCTGGTAGTACTGGATCATGTCGTAGGTCCGGCTCCTGGAGGGCCGAGAGTTCAGGGAGGCCGTAAGGCGCCGGAGCCAGTCTGGCATCCCTCACCAGCACCTCTGTGCGGGGCCGTGCCCTCCCCGCCAGCAGCTGTGGCTGTGCGAGCCACATTCTGCCTGTTTCCTGCTCTGCACCCACGTGAGTGACGCTGTACTCGGCCAACTACTTTCATCTCACCAATAAAACTAATAACCAGAAGAGACCTTCTTGTACTGCCTTCCAGACCCCTCTCGCTGACTTAGAAATGTCATGTCCCCGCACCCACCCTGAGCCACCCCCACTTCTCCGCTAGCGTGTCAACAAAACTGCACGGCACGGCCCCCACGCCGTCACAGCCCAGCCTGCACCCACCGGGCCTCTTCCTGTGCTTGCCTGACCCTCCTGGCACTAGCTCCCTGCCCCTTCCTGGGCTTTGCCTTCCAAATCCAAACCCGCCTCCCCTGGGGCCCTTCTCATCGTGGCTGCCTTGGCCTCACAGACTCAGCCCCCCAGACGGGCAGAGTTTCTGGCCGCTCAGGCCTCTGCTGGGTGCCCCCCTCAGCGCGTCCTGCTGCCTCTCTGCCAGCAGCCATTATCCTGAGGGGCTCCTTCAGGGCATTGGGGAGTCTCCCTGAACACCGG